AGCAGAGCCCATTGGGGTTAATTCTGAGTAGATGGTCTAATTATAGTTAGAAGCCAATGTCTGAAAGGGATGATTTTCTTTTGTGACTCTGTTTGACCACAATACTCTTGAAACTCTGGAGAGAAGATGGCCAAACAATGGATCCTTAAGTTAGAAAACTTTTTTAGAGAGCTCTCTTCATAAAGAGCTGTTTTACTGGTCCCTATGAAAAGACCAAATTAAAAGGAAAATACAAGGACTAATCTCAAAAACATAATCAAATTTGGGGTCTCAGCTTCTTCTTGTGGTCTCACAGATGCAAATGGAAACATCAAGTTAACAAAGAGAAGTGAAGAAGGGAAGAGTGACAGAACTCACTCACTCCAACAGGATGGCAATCTTTAGTCATTAAAAAGAAAGAGCAGGGTGAATAGAACAGACGCAAATACAGTCAAAATGAAGCTTTGACTAAAACACTGCCTAAGGTTCGATGGGCTAAAGGGACCCCAGATTGGCCCCCAACATTCAAGATTATCAGACAAACTTGTTCTATTTCTTCCAGTTTGAAAAAAATTTTAAAAGTAAGTAGACAGAAATCACAGCGAGAAACCTATCAACGCTTGTTTGGGGCAACAATTAGGCTGCTCAGGTTGGTACAAGTATAAAGATTAAAGTGTTTACCCTAATATTACATGAGGAGATTACGTCAACTTTGCCTGGATGCTTTTTTGGGGTTAAATATTATGCCTAGCTGAGAATGCATTCCCTACATAACACTGTAATACCAAAACTTGTGAGTGAAATTCTAATATAAGTTATAATTAGGGGTACAAGAGTTGAAAAAATAAAGATAAAGGTTTGTCCAAGTTGGTGTATGTAAATAGACCTTCTGTAAAACAATTACGTCTGTTTTGCTGCATTGCATTACGGATTCTGCAGTGGGAATAAACATTATGTGTCGCTGGGGAACGTGTCCCTTGCCTGATATTGCAAGAGCTCATAAACCCACCCTTCAGGCTCTGCGAATCGGACATGTAGAGGAGATCTCACTTTACAATGGCCAAAATGAGGCAGTTTCAGTTTACTCAAACCGATACATGCAATCGGAACAAGCCAGCTACAACAGGAAGCCTATTTTAATCTTTTGATGCTTCTAAAGAAAATAAGAAATATTTTACTGCCTCTTTAAGAGAAAAATCATTAAATAATTAAACATGCCAGGGCAGAAGCGAAGCCTGCTGCTGCTTTCTCTTCTCTCACTGAGATTTGCCACTTCAACTCCCCCAAAATGCCTGATCTGAAACTAAACAGCTGAAAATAGGCAAACTTTTGAGATAATTTGGAATTATAATGGCCACTCTGGGGAACCTCTGCTTCAGATGAGTCCACCTGAGGGGTCACCCTTCAAAGAGAGGATTCAAAATCTCTTCGAACGGAACACAGTCTTTAATTAATATACAGAACCTTCTGAAAGACAAAGCTATTTAACAGGATCTAAAATGAACTTTGGGAAATAAAAGCCTGTTTAAGTGTGCTGGTTTGATTTAAAATAGACATGTTCTCAGAGTTATCGGCAGTGGATATAATGCAGACATACAGCCTGGGTTTACTCGTCAAATGAGCTCATGTTCTCTCTGTTACAAAATTTGTCAACAAGAGTAATAACTTAGAATAACAGCTGATTTTGTTTAATGTCTCATGAGGTTTTTGTGGACGATGTAAATATAACTCTTGAGAACGGGTAAACGAAATAGATGTAAGTCTGTCACCATGCAAAGTTGTTCCAATATTGTGGACTACCGTCCCTGTGCTCTACATTCCAACCCCATGACTTACTTATTTTGTAACTGGAAGGTTGTACCTCTTAATCCCCTTCACCCATTTCACCCACCCCCAACCCCTCCTCCCTCTGGTAATCACCAGTTTATTTCCTGTGTCTATGAGTCTGTTTGTTTGGTTTGGTTTGTTTTCTAGATTCCGTATAGAGGTGGAGAAAAAGAAACCCTCCTAGACTGTTGTTGGGAATATAAATTGGTGCAGCCACTGTGGAAAACAGTCTGGAGGTTTCTGAAAACCTTTAGAAAGACAGTTTTTTTTCAGAGGAAGTCTGACAAACTGTAGTCAGTCAGGAGGTGATTGTGATTAAAGGTAAATGCGGTAGTGATTGCACCACATCCTGAATGTCCTAAATGCCAATGAATGCTTCACTCGAATTTAGCCAACTTTAGGTTCTGTGAATTTCACCTCAATAAGTTTTATTTTAAAAAAAGACTCAAGGAACCTTTGAGTAATTGGAGTCCATAGTTTACCAATTATTGTTCTCTAATGGTGTTATGCAAATTGGTATGCATGTGGCTGCCATGAAAATTTGGGCCATTCTCCTGGTCCAGAGTTGCTCCTTGCCCCCTTCAGAGATGCCTACAACTTCCCAGCAGACGTCCAGCACAGAGCCCCGCTTACTTGAGCTTCTCCGCTAACGTTGACTTCTCTGTGGGCTTCCCCTCCTGGAACTGCAGCTTCTCCCCCAGCACCGATTCAATGATGTCTTTGCACGCTCCAGACTCTGAGGAAAGACAGAGAGGCCGGCCTCAGTGGAAAGCTGGCCATGCTGCTGGGGTCACTGCCTGCAAGGGAGGAGGCAGGCTCCATCTTCTTCTCTCAGAGGCAGATAGAACCCCAGCACCAGGCTCTCCACTGAGATTTCCACCTTCTATTGCTCAGCCTCCCAAATACACGGCATTTGGTCACTCCTCATTTGAGAGCTGAGCAAAGAGAAGCTCCAAGGCAGAGAAAGTGACCAGACAAGATTAGCTGACATTTTTCAAGCTCAGAATTCACATGCCCTGAGACTGACCCCGAGTCCTGGGCCACTTTACCAAGACTTGCAGCCTCTTGAGTAAAACACTAAGCAGCGGCATGAAGTGGCGATCCCTGTGTGCTCGGGAAGGCCCCTGGGCCTACTGATTGTTGGGCCCTCTGAGCTCAGAATTTCAAGGACAAGTACCTTCACGATGAAATATAACTGTATATGAATGCAATTCTGAAAAATACAAGGCATAACCATCAATCCCTGAAGGAAATAGGCACAGGCTGTAGAAGTTGTTTTCAATTCCAAGTAGTACAAGAAAGAACTAATAAATAGTGTTTCCTGTGTGTCAAGAACTGTTTTAGTAACTTTACAGAAATAACTCATGTGATTCATTGCAACCGCTCAAAGAAGTAGGCACTATGACAGGGCCATACTAACAGAGGAGGAAACCGTGAGGCTCAGAAAAAGCCACAGCTTGGATCTGAGCCCAGGAAGAGTAGCTCAGTCTTCACCAATGCACTGTGTTACCTCGCCACAAGATCTTGGGTGACATCTTTCTCCTTCATCATCTTCAAAATTTGTTTCCTACAGTTATGTTACGCCTATAAAAAAAAGCTGTAAGGAAAACTGAGTCCTTTCTCAAAACCTAATCTCCTCACTTTCTTAAATAGCAGGTTTCAATGTTTACTTTTCTCTGCGTCAGTCATTTGAAGTTCACCACTCCCACGATGGTTTATTGGAAAATAACACCCATCCAGACTCAGAGTCGTCAAGATCCCTTCTACTCACTCTGTTTGGCACGAGGCCCTGTTCTCACGATCCCTTTCGTCACCACAGCCCCTCTTACCGAACAGGTGATTGAGCTTCCAATTGCGAGGCTGACTGTGGGAGGGAAGGGACCTGTCCCAGACACTGGTTTTGAGTTTTTACTGGGGCTGGTGGCCATCCCCACTTAGCGTCATTCTCACTTGGGCCATGTCTCACAGCCCAGACCCTCAAGGTCACCCGGGACCTGCTGGCGGTCCTGCATCACCAAAGGTTCACCAGCTCAGAGAGACACAGAAGAGGGGGTACGGATTGTCTCATTTCCCCAGAGACACCCTCTACCTCACCCCAAGAGGCAAAGTGGCTTCCTTGGCCTCAGAAAGAAAAGCCTGTGCTCAGGAAGCACGGCTTCGCGCTCAGCAGGGTCGTCTCTGTCTGGATGGCGTCACTCATGGATACCACAGTGTCAGTGAGGAGCACACTCATCTTCAGGCTCCTGTAAAGCAGGGAACATCACCTGCTTCCCCCAGTGTGTACCATCACCCCATCTCCCCAGTGTAAGGAGCACAGAGCTTTGCCAGTGGGACCTCAGAGAAGCCTGAACTGATGGAGCTCATTAGTCCCGGACACTTAGGCCAAGAGTGCTGCAGGATCCGATTCCGTACACGGAGGATGCTGGGAGAAACAGGTTAGCCTGCTCCAGAGGGAAACACGCAGTGCTGTGCCTGCACCAGGAATCAGTCACTGGGATTTTACCTAATCCCACCCTACACCTCACTGCCAATCTGGAAAAGTCCCTCAACTCTTTGGGCCTCGGTTTGTCCATGCTCAGCAAACTGAGGGTAAAATACCCACTTGCACCTTCCCTGGACCGTGGTGAGAATGAAGTTTGTGTTGCCTCAGGGAACAGAAGAAAAGGTCTGGAGAGTTTTTAGTTTCTTAGGGGAACACGGTGGTCACTCATCCCTTTGCTGACCATGACCCTGTAGGACTTACTGTATTTCTGCAGCTCGTTGGCCAGGATGTAAGCAGTGGACTCAGAGACAAGGAACTTCTGTTTGAGGTCTCGAAAGTCCTGTTTGCTTTGTTCCAGCTGGGACTGAAGCTCCTGGTTGATTTCCAGGAGGGTCATTTCGGGCCCCGGATCAGACACAGGGCCAAGAGTAACTGCCATGGTGACGTGGGGCAGAAGAGGTAGGGCAGGGACTGGGGAGAAGAGACCCAAACACAGAATGGGTTAAAAACAAGTGAAAGCAAATAGGTTCAATGAGGACTGAGGGGTGAGGAGTCAGGAATTCTTAACTTACTGTCGGCAACAACGTGATCAACACCCCACAGCACTTGAGAGTCTGTAACCCCCAAAACAAGGTTCAAGACGCCAGAGCTCAGAGCCAAAGGCACTGCCTCTAGCTCACACTCCAACACGAGTGATGGAGGGAGGAGCCAGCGCGCCAGGTAACGGTCTGGAGTTGCAATAACAGAACTGGAAGGTGGGGGGGGTGTCATGGAATCTTAGGAGCCCCTGCCTTCCAGTTGCCTAGGCCGCGAGGATACACAAGGCCCCCTGGTCTCTTCTGAAAGTCACCACCGATGGGGCCACCCTAAGCAGCCACTCTCAAGAGGTGTCTACCCTTGTGCTGATAGTACCAACCTATTTCTTTCCAAGACATATCCAAGCCTAACAGTTTCTCAGTGTTTGTTCTTGTATGTTTACAAAAGCATCAAGGCAGAAATAGTTTCCCAACAAGTTTTATTTTCTTAAGGGCTGTCATGAAGTCACCCAACCTTCTCCTTAACTTCAAACAGAGCTTAAGGTTTTTCCACAAGTGAAAGATGTTAAATTTTTCGACTCTCATGATGATGTTCTTCTACCGTTTTTTCTATATCCATTAAAAAGTGTAGGACAACAGCAGAGTATCCTATAAAGGAATGAACAACTCATTTAAAAAAATGTCTTCTGTCCTGAAACTCTAAATATTCCGTTTGCTGTATCCTTGTGTCACGTTGGCTTCTTCTCCATCACTGGGGCAGCAAGTTAAGTCAAGTTGAACACGCCTGCCTCCCGAAGTCCTCGTATTTCTTGGTTGCTTTTTGGATGTTGTTCATCAAAATATTGTTTACATGTTTGATGAGGATGCTTTTAACGTCACTAAACAACATATGTCATATTTCTCACTTGTGGATCTCATTCTAGTACCACAAGAGCTCTTTCTGAGTTGTTAGAATGATTAAAATAGTTCAGGTATACTTCCCGGAATACATGTCGTGCTCATTCTTTTGGAAAGATTTCTAAATGTGACGCTACTTTTTACGTTCCCTCAGTTCCCGTACATATTGAACAGACAGGGATCCAGGGCAGTTTTCATGGAAGGTTGCTCGATAGATCTCTTTGACTTGTCCTCATGCCCTGAAAAACGATGCCCTGAACCCTCTCCTGACCTTCTCAGCATCCGATGCCAACTGGGTCTTGTGAGCCTAGGACTTGGCCGACCCGCTGTGGCATCGGCCTCTTCAGGTTAGCTGCTGGACTTGCCTGAGTTAAGGCTGCAACTGGTGTGAGCACGTGCGGCCCAGCGTTCCCGTCACAGTGCAGGATGGAGGTGTAGATCAGCCACTTTTGGAAGCTCATCTGCTCCCCGTCCCACGCCGTCCTCCACCTATGCTGTGGAATGATATCGGCGTGAGAGCCACCAAAGGCTTTAAGGAAATCTACTTTCTGGTGTTTGTGGGACCTGACATTCGGTAGGAAAAAGAAAACTGTCAAATTCCTTCACTTTAAAACTGACGAAACGGAAGGCTCGCAAAAGTTACATGACATACTTGAAGTCACGGGGAGGAGCGTTTTGCAGTGCTAATTATAGTAATCATAATAACAGTAATAGTTTGTTCAGCATTATTGTGCCAGGCATTTTGCTAAGAAGCGCTGTCTACATAGAACGGCATCTTATTTTCATCATAATCGTTTCAGGTAATGTTACTGTCCATAAGCAAAAAGTAAAAACCTTGAAGAAGGGGACGTTCAGTAATTTACTTGGCCAAATTAAAAATGGAAAAAAATACGACAAACGCTTCTTCTTTATAAGAGCAAGTGAGTGATTGCTTTGCGTTCTGGAACAGTAGGAGAAACCTATTTGTCTTTATCCTGCATTTGTCCCGTTTACTGTGCTCTTTGTCTCTCTCTGTGACCTGGCTTCGCTTCTAGAGCGCTCCCTTGTCCTACTAACCCAGCTGCATGCACGTCCAATAGCAGAAGTGCCGGCTGGGCTCTTCCAGAGTCTCCCTGAAATGCTTATGGTGACAGGACGTCAGGCACAGTCTGGAGGCGAGAGCGACCCAGATCTGAGAATGGGTAGCTGCTTTCCCACCTCATTAGTCGGCATGATGTCAAACGACAGGAAAGATGACCTCCCTGTAACTCAGGTCAGGAGTCATGTCTCAGTGCCTGTGATCTATTGGGCTGAACTGTCCTGAACTTGCTAATGTTCTGGTTTCTTGTTGAGTGGCTAGAATATTTATAAGGCTTTCTCATTGAAACTTCTCTGTTGAAATGTGCATTAATCCCGATATGATTAAATTTGGTAAGGTAAAAGGCTTGTGGAAGACTGGTCCCTTCCATGAGCAAAAGAGGGTAAATTTAACTTCTGTTCAAAGCAAGCCGGGACTTGAAATGAGGGCTTTCACTGTTTCAAGGTGGACCGTCAGGTACCTCAGGCGTATGTCCCCAAGGGCTTGTGTCTGTGCCATAAACTGGATGAGGTGAAAACGGGGTCAGCCACGCCAGGTCCCTTTCCATTCTAGGGTCCTCCAACAGTTCCTCCTCTGCTTGAGAGAGCAGATTGGAAATGTCCTTGTGGCTCTGCTCTGTCCTACTTTTGTCTTTTGCGTAAAACTTACACAGCTCAGTGTTTCCCGCCCCGGCGGGGGGGTGGGGGGGGGAATCCTTAGAAGAGTCATCTGGGAGGGTTGGTACCAATCAAGTTCACAGTCCTCACTCGTAGCGATTCTGATTCAATGGGCGGAGGTGGGGCATGGAATGGATTGGCTGAAGTCGCTCAGATGCGAAACAGGTTGAGGGCCCACTGCTGTCATCGACCTTCCTCACAGTTTGGGGATGATTATTTCAGATACATTATTAATTCTAACCTTCACCATCGACTTGTGAGGAAAGCATTACATTTCCCTGGTTTGCGGATGAAGAAACCAAGGCACAGAGAGGGTGTGTAACTGGCCCAAGGTCTCCTGGCTGTAAGGGCTGAAGCCAGGGGTCAGGTAGTCCCCCTCTGCCCCCAAATCTTCTTCCCACATTTTCCAGTTCATTCTCGTGTCATGTCTTCCCTAGGAGGTACTTTCTTTGCCTATACCTCATTGCTACCAAAATTTTCCTGAGTTTAATTTTTTCATCCAATATATTGTTCACAAAAGGCTAACAGCATCATATTCTGGCCACTGGTTATTAATTTGAGACACATTGTTTCACGAAAATACAGGGCATGAGACTGTGCAAAGTCACATTGCTGCCTTATTATCATCATCAGGGCATAATTCATAAACAGTAAAATTCAGCATTTTGTGTACAAGTCAGTGACTTTCAGTCTATTTGCAAAGTGGTGAAACTCTCACCACTACCTAATTTCTGAATGTTTTCATTACCTCCAAAATGAAACGCCATACCTATTGGCAGTTACTGCCTATTCTCCCATTCTCCCAGCCCTTGGCAACCACTTCTCTACCTGCTCTCCCTATGGACTTGCCGAATGTGGACATTTCTTCTAAAACGAACTATTCAACATGTGGTCTTTTGTGTCTGGCTTGTTAGCATACTGTTCTCAAGGTTGACCCATGGTTTGGCATGTATCAGTACTTTTATTATTTTCATGCCTTAATACAATTTCATTTATGGCTATGCTACATATTGTTCATTCATCAGTTGATGGCTATTTGGGTTGTTTCTACTTTGGGCTGCTATGCATAATGCTGCTATGAATGTTCATGTGCGAGTTTGTTTGTGACCACATGTGTTCAGTTCTCTTGGATGTATACCTAGGAGTGGAATTGCTATGTCTACATCAGCTCTATATTTAACTTTGAGGAAGTGACAAACTGTTTGCCAAAGCAATTGTGCCCTTTTACGTTCCCACGAGCAATGCACGAGGATTCCAGTTTCTCCACATCCTCCTCAACACTTGCTATTCCTGTCTTTTAATACATCATAGTAGTGGTTGTGAAGTGGTATCTCATTGTGGGTTTGATTTCCATTGTCTTAATGACTAACGACGTTGAGCGTCCTTTCATGTTCTTATTGACCATTTGTGCATTTTATATGGAGAACTGCCTATTCAAATGCTTTTTCCATTCATAGATTATTTGTCTTTTTACTGTTGCATTGTAAGAGTCCGTTAAATATTATGGGCACTACACACTTACCGGATCCATGTTTTGCAGCTGTCTTCTCTGATTCTGTGGGTTGTCTTTTCACTTCCTTGTTAGCATCCCTTGAAGCACAGAAAATTTTAACTTTGGTGAAGTCCAGTCCATCTACTTATTCATTGATTGTTTTTGCTTTAGCTGTCAGATCTCAGCAATCATTACCTAATCAAAGGTCACAAAGATCTAAACCTCTCTTTTTTTCACCACACTGCTTTGAATTAGACCTTTCCTGGGTTAGTATAGGGGGACATTTTTGAATTTTGATTCCTATAAATTGATATATATTTATATCCTTCTTGATTGATATTCACAGGCCTTCCCACCACTCCGATGGAGCATCCATGTACTAGAACAGAGATCTGGGGGGCCGGCCTGGTGGCGTAGTGGTTAAGTTCGCATGTTCCGCTTCTCGGTGGCCCGGGCTTCGCCGCTTCGGATCCCAGGTGCAGACATGGCACTCCTTGGCAAAAGCCATGCTGTGGTAGGCATCCCACGTATAAAGTAGAGGAAGATGGGCATGGATGTCAGCTCAGGGCCAGTGTTCTTCAGGAAAATGAGGAGGATAGGCAGCAGTTAGCTCAGGGCTAATCTTCCTCAACAAAAAAAAGAACAGAGATCTGGGAAATGGTATTTATTGACATCCTGGCATTGATTCAGGAGAGAGTTCTGGTTCTGTGCTTCAGCGTCTCCTTGACTTCTCCTAGTTTCAAAAATTGTTCAATATCTTTAGAGTGGAGCAACTGATTGTTTTTGTGAGAAACCCTTGGGAGCCCTGATTGTTCTGGGGCTAGAGTGGACGCCCAGTGGTTCCAGGCTTCTGTCTCCATGGCAGGGTCCGAGCAAGAACTGAGGGCTGGCCAGGATGCATCTGGGCAGTCTGTCACTTCCCTCTCACCCTCATAGGTGCCAGCAGCTGGTTTGGTGCTCTCCTCAGGCGCTCTCCATGGCCTGGGGACTGCCTAGCACCACCAGTCTGGCGCGCTTCTGCCAGAAGCTGAACCGGCTGAAGCCACTGGAGGAATCCACCACGGAGACGTTGCAGCAGCGCCACCTGACCATGCTGGATCTGATCCTGCTGGGCATGGGTGCTACGATGGGCTTGGGCCTCTACATGCTCACGGGCACTGTGGCCAAGGAGATGGCCGGCCCTGCGGTGCTCGTGTCTTTCAGTGTAGCTGTCATGGCCTCCCTGCTGGCAGCCCTATGCTACGTGGAGCTGGCAGCACGTGTGCCCCGCAAGGGCGCTTCCTATTTCTTCACCTATGTGTTCATGGGTGAACTGTGGGCCTTCCTCATTGGCTGGATATTGCTCATCCAGTGTCTCATTGGTGGGATTGCCATGGCCCGCACCTGGAGCAGCTCACCTGGACGCCATCTTCAGCCACCGCATCCGCAGCTTCACCATGACCCATGTGGGCTGCTGGCAGGTGCCGTTCCTGGCCCAGTACCCGGACTTCTTGGCTGCTGGAGTCATACTTTTGGCCTCCGCATTTGTCTACTGTGGAGTGCACATCTCTTCCTGGCTCAACCGCACCTTCTCTGCCATCAGCTTGGTTGTCATCCTCTTCATCGTCACCCTGGGGTTTGTCCTGGCCCGTCCGGAGAACTGGAGCACTGAGGAGGGCGGCTTTGCGCCGTTTGGCTTCTCTGGCATCATGGCTGGTGCTGCCACCTGCTTCTATGCCTTCGTGGGCTTTGGCGCTATTGCTGCCTCCAGCGAGGAGGGCCAGAACCCCAAGCGAGCTGTGCCTATGGCCATCGCCATCTCAGTTGGCCTGGTGGCTGGTACTAACATCCTCGCCTCCACTGTGCTCACCCTCATGGTGCCCAGGCACAGCCTAGACCCTGACTGGGCACTCGCTGATGCCTTCTACCAGCGGGGCTACAGCTGGGCAGGCTTCATCGTGGCGGCTGGCGCTGTCTGCGGTAAGAGGCCCTTCTGGGTAAGGTGGGAGAGGACAGGGTGGTGGGGCCCTGCCCATAGCCTCCCAAGATGACATCGCCATCTGGGCCTGTGTTCCCAGTTGTGTCCTGGGCCCAGGAAGGTGCTAGTGATTAGACTCGCCACCCAGGCTTTTTGGGAGGGACCTGCTCACCACCCCTCCCAATCGTACACAGAATGTCAGTTCTGGGCATGTGCTGCCAGGTCCTTTCCTGGTGGAAGGACTCAGCCTTCATCAGATTCTCCAGTGGGTCTGTCACCTGAACTGGGCTGTCCCATTCCTGGGTGGTGGGGGGGAACAGTTCAGTACCCTATCTACACTCAGGCTCACTCTGAGAGCCCAGATAAACTCATGCCCCTGTTACCAAGGGGTCACCCATGCTCTGGCCCCGATCAGCGACCACAGGTGGGCTTGTCCACCATGCTGACTGGTCTCCCACCCTCTGCCATAGGCATGACCACTGTCCTGTTCAACATTCTCTTTGCTGTGCCACGCATCGTATATGCCATGGCCACTGACGGGCTCTTCTTCCAGATATTTACCCGTGTGCACCCTCACACACAGGTGCCCATAGTGGGCATCCTGGTGTTCGGGTTCCTCATGCCCCTCTTGGCGGTGCTGCTGGACCTTGAGGCACTGATCCAGTTCCTGTCCATTGGCACCCTGGTCACCCGCCCTGTTGTGAACACCAGCATTATTGTGCTACGCTTCCAAAAGTCTCCTCCATCTAGTCCCTTGGGCTCAGTCAGCCCTGGCCCTGTGGCTGAGGGGTATGAGGACTCCTCAGGACACAGACAGCTGGAGGACACTGAGCAGCCCTCAGCCCCTGAGCCTGGGCAGCTGCGACCAGCCCTGAGGCCCTTCCTTGGCTTCATGAGTGGATGCAGACCTGGAGTCGCTGTGGCCTGGGCACCCCGTGTCCTGGTGGTGTCAGCCATCATTCTGGACTGCGTGCTGATCTTTGGGAAGTCGGCCCTGCACCTCCCACCCTGGGGCCACACCCTGCTGCTCCTGCTCAGCTCCGTCATGTTTCTGCTCAGTCTCCTCGTTCTGGGGGCCCACCAGCAACAGCGCCGGGAGGACACCTTTCAGGTACTTCCTCCAGCCAGCACCCCTCACTCTCAGCCCAGCCAGCTCCCTTCGCCCCTTCCTCCTCTGCCGTGCCAGGATACGCCAGGGTTCACGGAGTGGGGGCGGCCAGTACCCCATTCCCCTCTTTCTACATGGCGAGTGGGCCCTTGTCTCTGGAACCTCCACAGGTGAAGAAAGTCTCTGTGGACTCCCAAGAAATCAGGCCCTGGCCCAGCAGCCCTTCCCTGCAGCCCAGCAGCCCTGCCCTTGCCCCCTCAGGTTCCCATGGTGCCCCTGATTCCAGCCCCGAGCATCCTCCTCAACGTCTTCCTTATGCTGCAGCTGAGCTCCCTGACCTGGCTGCGCTTCTCCGTCTGGCTGCTGATTGGTGAGTAGGGACCAGGCTGGGACCCTGGGTTGGCTGCAGGAGGAAGCAAGCAGGGAAGCTGGGCTGGGACCTGGCCCTCAGGCCTGTGCCATCCTTACAGGACTTGTGGTGTATTTTGTCTACGGCATCTGGCACAGCAAGGAGAATCAGCAGGAGCTGCCGGGGTTGACTGCCACACGTGGCAGCCTAGAGGAGACAGTGCAGGCCCTGCCGCCCCTCAGCCAGGCCCCTACCCATGAGCCTGGCCACATGGAGCAGCCTGCCAGTCTATGAGGACCCCTGGGGGCCTGCCTGCCCTCCCCTATCTCCTCAGGAGGCTGGTGGTGGTGGTGGCAGCCCCTTCTATCCGGGGCAGCTCAGGTTTGCAGGCCTGTCCGTGCCAAAGGGTCCTCAGGACCTCAGACCTTAGTCCAGGTGCTGAACTTCGAGTCTTTGGGAGTGGGCCACGGCCACTTCTGGTGGTGGACTCTGTCCAGCACCTTCCAGTTTATGACCAACTCCAGCTACCTGGGCAGGTGGAGTAGGGTGGGCAGGGAAGAGGCCCGCAGCCCTAGGCACCCAAAGTAATAACTGCTCAGCCACCCACATGGCCTGCTGCTGTGTCCACTGTGGCATCTTTTGTGGCACTGAGTCCTCACCTGACCTCGGGAACCAGGTGATTGTTCCCAATCCACTGCAAATGTACCAAGGTTCTATAAGGGGGAAGCACCAGTACAGGGAGAGCTCAGAGTCAGGGACATGGCCAGTCCTGGGACCCAGGGTCCTGCCCTCAGGGCAGTGCCACTGTCTAAGCTCAGAGGGGACCTAACACACGCCAGACACAGACGGGTCCATGACAGGGCAGGTGCAGGCTCCCCACATGTCCACTTGGGAGTGGATCCAGAGAGCAGAGCCTAGACCCCAAGAAGGCCGCCTAGAAAGGGCAGCGGAGTTCTGGGGTTCCATGAGTTTCCCAGGGCTCCTAGACTGCAGGGCATGTGCCTGAGGCCCCGGGATGTAGAGGCCCACCTGCCCAGGTACATGCATACTCAGGCACAGGCCCACATGGCCCACACGACTTCCCTGGGGGTGCACACCCACCTGCAGACTGAGGCAACAGCTATTTCCAAGCTCAGGGCCCACAGCTCCAGCTGCCTCTCCCTCTGCCACCCCGTCAGAGCTTTGTGATAACAGCGTGGGGTTGGTGCACGAGCGCCTGGGCCCCACCTAGTGGCTGTAGAGCCTGACCCTGGGGGAGTCCCCAGGCCCACCCTGCACCCTCTCACCCTTCACCCTCACTGGTCTCTCCAAGGCCATGCTACGTCTACCATAGACGCCTCCAACTCCCTGTTCCTGCCTGTGAGGACTACACAGGAAGCTGCTGGCTCTGGAAGCTTTACTCCTCGACTCTCTGCAGTCTTGACATCAGCTTTCTCTGGACCCCGAAGACAACCAGGCACACGTCATCTCGCTCCAGTAACCAGGCCTCAGCGCTGTGATATCTCACCCCAGCCCTTCTGACCCCACCTCCCATGGACACTGCTCTGGGGATTGAGAGGCACTAGGGACCCCAAGGTTTTGCTAGGCTCCAGGTTCCAGATGATTCCAGGTGCTTCCCAGCCTGGGCTCCAGCCTTAGGCCTCCCCAACCTGGCCCATGTCACCCCACCAGCAAGCTGCCAGCATGACCTGGTCACCAGGGACCCATGAGAAGGCAGCCCCTTGTCTCCCTGGGGTGGGTACCCCCCCAAATCCCCACCCCTCCCTGGGACCAAGAGAGGGCTGGACTGCTGCAGCCCCCGTCCCTCCCCTCCTGACCGTGGGCCTGAGGACATGGGGAAATTCTCCAGCATGCAGGACTCAGGCCCCCAGGAGGATGCCAGAGCCAGAACCAGGCCAGCCTGCTGGGGGCTTCCATGGGCTCTATTACAGGCATTGTCTCTGGCCCCTGGTCTGCACATGGTGTCTTGTTCAGAGCATGGTCCCTGTGCAGTTGCCTCAGGCTGGGGTGGCCAACTGCCCAGACACGCTGTCGTGTGTGACCTTGGCCAGCAGTGACATGTGCAGATATACAGCCTCCCCATCCTATGGCTCCCAATAGCTTGGTGAGCAGCTTCCTGGGCATTGGGTTGGGAGTCACAAGGAGACAGATAGAAGGTCCCAAAGGACCCCATGCCCACCAAGTCAGCCCCTCTACCCTCCTCCCCATTCAGCCCCCCACAGCCCAAGGGCTGCCACCAGGAAGGCCCAAGGGCTGCCACCAGGAAGGGGCTGGTGCTCATAAGCTGAGCAGGTAAGGGCCCAAGAAGTGCCTGGTATCCTAGTGGGGGTTAGATCATCTGCTCCCTGCACTCGTCATTCCATGGATGAGGCCCAGAGCTGGGAGGGGCCCTGCCCTAGGACACCAGGACCAGAACAGCTGTGACAACTCTTGTCAGGCTTCTTTCTCCCCCACCTTGGACTCTGGCTGCACAGACCCCCGTGCAGGGTAGCTGAGAGGGCAGGGGTTCTACCTGTGGTGGCAGTGCTGGGGGGGTGAGGGCTGGGAGCCGGGCAGGGCCGGAGTTAACCACAGCCAGGGTGGTGGACAGCTGGAGAGCAGGGAGCTGTTGGGAACACTGGAGACAGAGCCCGGGAGAGCGTTTTCCAGCCCCAACAGGAGCCCTACTGTTTCCCTGCAGGTCTCCATACAAAACTGGCTTCTGTGATCTCCAGGGAGCACCCCGCCAAGGCTAGAGCTGGGGGAGTGACAGTCTGTGTGGGAGCTGAAGGGTAGGATTTTTCCCCCACCCCCTGCCCTGGGCCTGCTAGGGCTTCATCCGTGAGTCCGCTAGGCAGGGCCCCCACCCTTGCCAGCCCCTATCTCTCCCCCCAACTCTCAACCCCCAACCAGCAGAGAAAGGCTACAGGCCTCAGGAAAGGGTGAATGAGTGGGTGCCAGGGCCACCCTGGTGACAGTGTCCAGCTCCCCGCAGGTGGGGGTAGGTAAGGGGCAGGCTCTGCTGGTCCTGGGACCCTGCCCTGGGTGTCAGGGACACTTACACTGGCACAGTGTCACACTCCACACGGCACCAGCCCCGGATCTCACAGGTCCTGCGGGTCCCATTGAGCACCACACACTGGCCCGTGTTTATGCCTTGAAAACACAAGGCAAACTCCGGGCCCTTCAGTCTCCACAGGGTCTGGGAAGGGAGTGGCAGGGGGCTGTTGGAGAAAGAAGAGATGCAGAGGCACCACCAGGCCTGCACGCTGCAGCCACCCGGGGTCCCAGCATGCCCCTCTGAACCCCCATCCCAGTGAAGGTGCCAGAAGACAGGGCCCCCAGCTATGTGGCTGTGCATTCCCGTCTCCCCTTCAGAACAGTCCTCGTCAGCCCGGCAGGTCCCCAATGGATGGAGGGTGCTGAGGTGGTGAGAGAGCAGAGCTGTCCAGGCCCAGGAAGTGTCTCCCCTTCGTGACCCAGCCTTGCAGTCCGCAGGGACATGCCCCTCCCCTGCTTAGCCCCCAGGGTTCCCTGAGTTTGGGGCACATGGGAAATCTGGAGGGTGCAAATAAAGGGAGATGGTTAGATGGGGAGGGCAAGCAGCCCCTGGCCAGATAGGGGTGCAGTGCTGTAGCCCTAGTCAGAACGAGACTCCTCCTCCTGATAGTTGTCACTCCGGTGGGGGCGAAAGTGATTCCTGGAGGCCCAGCTCTTCTAGTCCAATTCGGACAGCAGAAGAGGGAAGGTGGAGGGACTCGAGGGTGGGGGGGGTGCCTTTGTGCCAGGGTAGAGGTGCTGGGTGTGGCAGGCAAAGCATGGGACCATTGTCACAGGGGTTGTAGGGAAGTGGGACCCCACACACTGGCCAAGGACCACAGGCTAGGCCCCTCCTGGCTTGTTCTGCTATCAAATAGGACACTGGTACCTGCCCATGGTCACAGAGTTCTGGGTATCAGCCAGTAGGGGACAGTGGCGAGCTTGCTGGGAGTCCCAGACCCTGGAGAGGGAGCACCCTCAAGCATCAGGCACTTCCACAGACGTGGTTCTGCAGGTGGAGGCTGGACGCCGCTGTCCAGGGCTCCAGGGAACACAGCACTAGGGTGACAGGAGGGGCTGGGGACTCTGACAAGCCAAATGAGATCATGGCACTTTGTGCAGGATGGGACTGTGAGAAGTGAACTGAGTTAAGCGTAGGCTACTGGCTCTGCCTCACTGTCCTTACCTATGTTCTGAGTCTGCCCCTCCTTTTCACCTGGCTGGGCCGCTGTCATCTCCAACTGGGTCCCATGTTGACCACTGCGGGTCCCACCTCTGCCCTCATCCACACGTTCCCGCAGCCCGCGTGGTCCATCCCAATGCACAGACGATTGAGCGCCCTCCCCGGAGCCCATCTGTGGCTCCACTGATGCTGGATCCACTTCAGCTCCTCAGAGGGGCTCACGGGGCCTCTGTGACCTTCGGCTACCCCTTCCCTGGCCCAGTCCCAATCTAGGGACAACCCCACTCAGTGCCAGGAGCCCTGGAGGGGGCCTCATCTCGCACTGCTCACGGCCTTTGCCCACGCAGCCCCCTCTGCCTGCACATCCTCAACATCCGGCTCCAGCCTCACACCCTGCGGGAAAGCTTTTCTGAGGCCCTGGGTTGGCTGACGAGCCTCCCTGGTTCTCCCAGCTGCAGCTTCTGTCCCCATCACAGGCCCCCCCACCTGGCTGGGCTGTCTGTGCAGGAACTCCCTGAGGTGGGGAGGGTGGAGTTTTGCAAGCCTGGTCTGGGGGAGGCTCGACAGGTGTTTGCTGGAGGCTGTGACACCACAAGGACACAGTGCATGTGCTTGGAGGGGCCAGATGACCAGGACCCCTGAGGAGCTGGCAGGAACTCTGCTATTTAGGAACTCAGGAAGCCTGCTTGTCAGACCTGATAAGTTACTTCACAGCCCCAGCAGTTTCGAGGGAAGGGCGAGAAGGCAGGGCATGGGCAAAGAGGAATCAGATTCCAGAAAACACAGAACCGTAGTCCCAGCACAATTTCAGGACAGTCTACAAACCAAATATTAAATAGACGTCTTACGAGCTTTTAGAAAAGGAGGGACATTGTGTGTGTTTGCTGAACGCCAGCACATGCTTTGTGCACGTGCCTCACCTCGTTTGTGCACAGGGCCAACCAGAACATGTGGCACCCCCAGCAACTGAGGTGAGACCAGTGACCAGGACCCAGGGGACAGGGACCCACACAGTTACCTTCCAGCCCAGTAAGCGATTCAGTGTTAAACTCAATTAAAGAAAGATGTCACCATGGAGGTAGGCTTCCCGGTCTATGTCCTGGGACCGAACTGTTCAGAGAAAATCCACAACTCAGGGGAGGACAGCCCAGTAATGTAGTGGTTCAGTTCAGTTTGCTCCATTTCAGCAGCCTGGGTTCAAGGGTTCAGATACCAGATGTGGTCCTATACCACTCATCCAGCCAGGCTGTGGTGATGTCCCACATACAAAGTAGGAGGAGATGGGGGCAGACATTAGCTCAGGGTCAGTGTTCCTTGCACAAAAAGAAAAGTGGGGAACTCTACACATAAAAATGGTTAAGATGGTAAATTTTATGTTACGTGTATTTTATAGCAATAAAAGAAATTGGAAAAAAGTCCATTGCTGAGGAGGAGAACAAGTGTGCTCTGTGACAGACACTGGATTCCTGGGACATCCCCAGGAAGAGGAAAAGGTGAGATTTCAGAGAATAGTCTGCATTTCTGCATGAACAGGCAAGAAGAGGGTGGGGCACTCTGGCTTGACCACACTTGTGAAAAAATACCCAGAGATCATAAGTGACCCTGTGCTTCGCAAAGGAAGGAGTGTGCTGTGTTTGGAAAATGGAAGCTGTCCTGGGAGACGTTAACAGACGCTGGGCATAGAGAAGGGGAGGTGATCTTTCAGCTTGGCCTTGCTATTAGAGCCCAGCTAAGCACTGTGCCCAGTTCTAGGTGTTAAACTGACAACCTGGAGAGTGCTGAGGAGGGACCAGGATGGGGAGGGGCCTGGACACCTCACGGAGAACAACAGTAGAAGGCTCTGGAAGCAGACTGCTCAGGGGGGCAGAGTCCCGTCACCCACAGGCTGGAGGCCTCGTGGAAGTGACTCAGCATGGCTGAGCCCCAGTCTTCTCCTCTTCAATGGGGCCTGCAGTACCTCCTGCCAGGCAGGGTGTTTGTGAGACTAATGAAATTATTCACGAGAAGGCTTCAGCTCAGTGCCTGGGCTACAGCAGCACATGCTGAGCCCTCAGTCACCTGGGAAGGAGGAGGGGGGACATGGCTGGTGACCCAGGGCTGGTGGAGGAACCAAGGACCCACTGGGAGGCTCCCAGGCAGCCTTGCCTCAGGGCATCTGCCCTGAACTTGATCTGGCGTCACAAGGAGATTGGTCGCCGAGAACACGTTCTCCACCTGGAAGGCAGGTGTCAGGGTTGGCCACCGCTCAGCTCCATCGAGGGGAGAGGACAGGCTGGCAGCTGGGTTTGTGAGGGGAGGAGGGGTCCTGCCCCATCGAGCCATCAACCCTGTGCCCCAGGAAAATGCCCCCAGTGAGGTAAGTTGAGGCAGAGACAGGAGGTGGGCTGGCTTTCGGGCCATTTCTGAGCCCTGTCTGCCCATCCAGTGACTGCACGTACACCCAGGGGCAGGGGAGCAGGTGGCAAGCTCTGCCTGGGACAGAGGGGGGGTGGCTGTGCGGAAGAGGAGCTAGCACCGTGTGCTGCCTGTGACAGCTCTGCACGTTTCGGGGGATGCACACCCAGGAAGCAGAGGGCAGGGCTGGGCAGAGGGCACAGGGGGTGGCAGCGGTCAGGATCTGTGGGGACTTGGTGGCCACCATCAGGGAAAGGGAGCTTTCCAAGGTGGCAAGCAAGGGCTGGCAGGCTCTGATGGTGTCACCTGTGAAAGCTCGGCCTGGCTGCTGCATAGAGCACAGCTGGAGACCCACAAGAAGACCACAGGGACAGCATGGGCAGCACGGAAAACCTTCAGGAGGTGGAACGGACAGGAGGGAGGGACAGGGAGGTGTTGAACCGGGTCCACCTTTGGCACTGGGAGATGTCATGGCCTCATTGGGTGAAAAGAGGCCACAGTGGGAGAAGGAGGTTTCTCTTTGGACGTGGTGGGAGTGCTTCAGGACGCAGCCATGCTGTGGGCAGGTGGTCACTGGGCTACAATTTGGGCATCAGCAGAACAGAGGTGTACCCTGGGGCTGTAGAGGATGTGGGTGAAGGGAGAAGGGGCCGGAAGTGCAGCATTGGAGGCACAGAGGAGGAGCCAGACCGCAGGATGCAGGTGATGGAGGGGAGCATTCAGGAGCCCCAGGCCCTGGCCCCCAGGCTCCTCCAGCCCTCCCTCAAGCTCAAGCCTTGAGTGCCGAGACCCTCCGCTCTCCCGGATGCACCTGCATAATGCGGTGCCTCTGGCCTGTCTTCCCGCCCCGCCTCTTTGTCCTCCTGGAAAGCTCTTACACATCCCCTGAGAGCCCTGTCCAGGGCCACTCCTCTGTCAGGCCATTCCTGAGCCCGGCCCTGTAACAGTGCCCATACCCCCTCTGTCATCACATGTGCCCCTGCACACACTCGCTGCATGGGGGCGATTAGAGGTGGCAGCGCCTGGCAGCAGCACCAAGGCACCACCTGTGGCGGCTTCATGAAGTCGGCCACCTCCCACAGCCGGTTCCCCAGCTCCTTCCTCTGGGTCTAGGAAACCCCATTGAGTTTGGAGATGATGGAAACCTGGGGGTCCAGGTCCTGCTCCCGGTAGCCTTTTTTGGTTGAGGAAGGCCCACCTGGGGAGGAGGCGATGGGCAGTGTGGTGTGTCCCCAGCACATGGTGAGCAGTGGCTGAGTTGGGCCCTACCCACTAGGTCCCTACACACCCTATAGGCTCCCAGCACAGCGTCTAGGGCCCCCACCTCTTCTGCAGCCTCATTTGCCACCCCAGACACCCTGCACAGACCAGAAGTCCCGGCCACGCATCGGAGAGCCCATGCTCTCAGACTGAGGTGCCTGCCACCACCTCCTTCACCGGCCTTCACCCGCCCCCTGCAACGACCATAGCCAGCTCCTCCTTAAAGGGCCCTCTGACCCAGCCACAAGTGGTGGTCTTTCTCGGGGGCCTTAGGGCTCCAGCTCTCACAGGTGTCAGGGACTACCTCCTGCTCCTCCTGGGGCCTCCTGGACTGGGCTGAGACTCATCCTGCTCCATGCCCAGAGCCCAACACGGGGCTGGGGACCAGGCCCAGGAAAGGAGGCAGGTGGGCGCACAGGAGGAAAAAAGCACATGGCTTGCTCTTGTCCCTGCTGGCCTCTAGACAGACGGAGATCCTTCCTTCTGTCCCTACCCTGTCCCAAACTGCCCCCTCCACCACCACCAGCCCCTGGAGAGTCAGACCCCAGCCCTCAGCCCAGCAGGACCAGTCAGGATACCTGCAGCCAACCTGCCCAGGTGCCATTCTCTCACCCACCACATAGGCCATGACCCCGAGCTGCAGCAGCCTCTGCAGGGCGCCCAGCCACCAGTCCTGGTCATCACACGCTTCTCAGTTTTGTAATCCAGAAGCCCCCAGCCTGTCCCGGCCCCTGGGGAGCCAATGCTCTCAGCTCCTGCTGACTGCCCGGGTGCAGGAGTCAGCACAGCAGCTGCAGCCCCAGCTCAACAGGAGGTACAGCAGGTGCCCAGGCCAGGCCAGGCCAGCAGCTGCTAAAGGGACACTTCCACTCAGGGTAGGAGCCAGCCCACCCCAGCCCTGGGCTCAGGCCAAACCCCCAGCTGTCCTGGGCCTCCCTCCCCCTCCAGACTCCCTCTACTGGGTCGTAGGGCACAGAGAGGAGCAGCTCCTCTCCCCTGCCCTTTGGCCTCACTTCCTTGGGGACACAGGGGATGACAGTGTTGTAGGTACTTTGAGAGGGCTGTGGGAGCCCAGAGGAGGGCCTAAGGAAAGCTTCAGGAAGTAGGGACCTCTGAGCTGACACTTGTAGATTGTGAAGTTCCACAAGCAACGCTGAGGAGGAAGGTTCCTGGTGGAGGAAGCCGCGCTTGCGACACTAGAGCATGAGAGAGACCTGGGACCCACAGAGTGACAGCCTGACTCTGGCTCCAGAGAGGAGGGTGGCTGGCCCTGCAAGGTCCCCCAGGCCCTCCTGTGTGATGCCCGGTAGAGCTGGCCCACCCCACAAACGCAGGGACTAAAGCACAGCTGTGGAGTCAGGCACGTTCCCCAGTCCGCGGAGGGGGCCGATGCAGGACCCACACGGATGGCAGCGGGAACAGGCCCCCTCAAGGAGCCCAGCCTTGCGCCTGGCCCGTGGCGCGCGCCCTTCTGCGCTCTCCCAGGAGCAGGCTCAAGGTCAGCACAGGCCAGCAGCGGTTTTCACAGCAACCAGCAACACGGGGTTGCCAGGCGACAGCCGCCAGGAGGGAGTGTCTCCTGGCTGCGGAGGGGCCTGTTCACTGTCCGCAAAATTCGGTTGGTCCACCCAGCCGGCGGGTCCGCCCACATCCCCGGCTGTGCTCTAGGTGCCCCTGGCTCAGTCCCAGCCTCAGTGCTTGTGACTGCGAAATGGGTGTAACCATGAGGGGTCCTTGCGAGAGGTCTGGGGAGAATGACCAGCAGGAGGGGAAGGAGGCAGCGGCCGCTGGGTGTCCTGCAGGAGTCGCGGAGCCCCAGGAGGGTTCGGATGCAGATTGAGACTCGCACCTGAAGACAGAAGATACCGTGGGCAGGGGGTTCAGTTCTGTCCCATCACCTTGGGGGCTTCTAGGCAGAGGTGGAGGGGGCAGGCTGAGGCCGAGGAGGCAGGGGACCCCAGTCCAGCAGAGAGCACATCCCTCTGTGGGACACCTTCCGGGCAACCCCTCCAGACCTGTGCCCTTCTGGAAGTGCTCTTGGCAGCATCACTTGTTCCACCATTAGCACAAGCTTCCAGAAAGATGTTACAATGCAAAAACCTAGCCAAAGAGTCTCAGAAGGGGTTTCCCACCCCATCCTGAAATGGGATCAGGGCTAGGTTTTCCCAACCCTCAGGAAAAACTAAGCTAATGGATGTATAGAACTCAGAATTGTTTCAGGATTTTCCTCTATAAAATGCTCATAAAACACATGTGGTCTTCGATGCAATAGAAAAGACACAGCATGCGCTTCAGTGTCAGACAGGCAGGGCCCTCAGTCTGGCTCTGCCGGGATCAGCTACTACTAGCTGTGTGACTTTGGGGAAAGGATTTGCTTTCTCTGAGCCTCGATGTCCCCATCTGGATATGGGGGCAGGATTGCTACTAGCACAGAAAGAAATGCCTCTAGAGGGGAAACAGGCTGGGTGGTGACAGAGGGCAGTGGAGGAGGCAGGCGGCTGTCCCTGGGGAGGGAGCA